TTCCAAATTTAAAATAATTCTTGGTTGGAAAGAGATTACACTCAAATGACAAAGTCATCTCTGAAGTGAACGAGTATTTTGCACACTTTGACAAATCGACCTATTGTAATGGCATAAAAAAGCTAGAACATTGCTAACAAAGCAGACTACATTGAAAAATAAAAAAAGTTTTAACATTATTTTGTTTGTTGTTCTATTTGAGGCCGCAAACTTTCCGAACAGCCCTCGTATAAGAGAAACCCAACTGTATTCTCTTTATCACAAAATGCTGAAAACTTTTTAATAGGCAAAATTTTTCTGGGATGTATTCTGTCTCCATTATAGATAACAAATTCAACAAGAAATGGATCTACATTGGAGTGATGGCTCGCTCTCTTAACATGCTTATCAAAGAACACCATTATTCTGTCCAAAGGGACTTGCCAACAACAGCATTAACAATATTTGCAACCAAAGATGATATACACGTTAATGAAGCCAGTCTCATACACCGAATTAGAAATTGGACCAATCTGAAACATCTGGAAAAATTTGAATTTACAAAGCTACTTTTGAAACACTGCAATAAATTAGAGAGATGCTGAGACATTCTCTAGAGCAGCGGCTGGCAACCTTTCTCACCTCACGGATCACTAAAGTCACAATTTTGAATCCTGCGGACCATTATCATGAATTTTTTTAAATGATACAAAATATGTAGAATAATGATCGTAAAAGTTCAATTTTACTATATTAATATGAAACTCGCATGTTTAATTATAACAAATTAATGCAAGCCTAAAGTTCATTGCTGCTTGTTTGAAACAAGTTTATGGATTTTTCGTGCTTTTCCACGAAGGACGACAATTGCACTCACAATATTGTTTATTGCTCATTATTTATTGATAACAGTCACTTTGTTTTTGGTTTTAGATTCGAATAAAAAACCCCAATGAATGATAAAAGCAACTAAGCATTTTGCATTTCTTTCATAATACTTTGCGTAACCTTTAGTTGATCAATGTTCAAATTTCTCCACGGACCACCCAAATTTTCTTGTGGACCATTGATGGTCCACAGATCACTGATTGCTGACCATTGCTTTAAAACATTGTTTTTCAACCCTGTGGGTCGTGACCCCCCTGGGGGTCGCAGGTAAAAGAAAAAGACAAGTGTTTGTAGGTCCTATACTACAAAAAAAAAAATTAGAATTTCAGTGAGAAGGCTGTGCCTGTTTATTTTACAGTACAATTGGTTTTTCGATCGATATTTAAAGAAAGAAAATTAAATACATAGTTTTTAAAATCACTGATATAGTTTCAATATGGCCCTGGGGGTCGCCAGAATTTTTTAACTTGTAAAGGGGTCGCTTATTCAAGAAGGTTGAAAAACACTATCTAAAGCGTGGAGGTCCATCTTTGAAGTACACCTATAACTTAAGTCTTAACTTTAAAAATAATTTTTTTGTAATATCAATTTGAACTTGACTTTCTACATTAACATTTATGCTTTCCACCAATTAAATAATTATTCCATTTTTTTAAAATTTTCATATACAGTATATGCTCAACTGCTTTTTGATTTAAAAATTGTTGAAAATATTTTTTTTTCTTTAGTAAAGTATATTACTTGCTGGATATTACTAATGTTGTTTCATTATTTGTACTTAGTTAAATCTAGTTTCAAGTATTGCATAGTTATTGTTAACATTATTAACATTGCACTGATTTCCAATATTTTCCTGGGTGAAGCACGGTATCATTTTCACTTTCTTGTCCAAGCTTTTAAAAATAATTCTCACGTTAGATTTTTGTGATTTTGGTGTCAAAATGCTCGGTATAACCTTGTCCTTTGTGGGAAATACTTTTTGTAAAATACGGTCCACTCTGAGGAAAGATATATTCAAAAATCGAAAGTGTTGACTTTCTCCACTTTGATGCTTAATAACAAAAAAGCATTTTGACATTTTTGGGTGCTGACTTTGAAGATTTATTAATTAATTTGTAATTCATCCAGTATTGTTTGTGTGCTACAGTTTTTAATAACAACTAAATTATTATTAAAATAAGAAATGCAAATTTAAACTAGTCATATCCTTTTTATACATTTCTGTTTTTGTTCTTTACAATTACATTTTAAATATTTTCTGCATGGTATTTTCTCCATTATAAATCACTTCAGTTATTCATATTTCATTTATGTGATTTTGCATTTATATGTCATATTTTTTGGTATCTTTTAGCACTTTGTTCTGTTATGTGTTATTCACTTTGAAAAGGAAAACTTTAAAGCAGTTGTTAAAAAAAATTAAAAAACAGATTGTGTATGAATACATAATTTGATTTGAATTCACTTTAGATTAATCCATCCTTACAGCAAATTTTCAGAAAATACAAATACAAAAAGAAAAGAGAATAATACATAACGTGAGCCATTTCCGACAAATTTTCCCATTTAGCAAATTACTCAGCCAGTCCAACTCATTGAAAATTTTCATTTATGTTTTGTAGTATAACCAATTTTACTAAACAAATAAAAATTGCTTTCTAGTTTCTCATTTGCTTTCACTATTTGTTGTGAATGTGAGCTAACCTTTAGAGTGTTTCTTCATTCTTTCATGTGATTGAAGTTTCGACAGGCAGAGAAAATGATATCACATACTGTACCAGTATGTGACAAATCCATTGAATAAAAGAAGAAACAAACAAGTAAAATGGTGAAGCCATTCTTGGGATGAGACTATGTCTTTGAGAGTGCGAGCAATGCATGTGCAAATCTTGCACTCGTGCATGTTTGTAGGAACAGTCTTGGCATTTTGTATTTTATTTTGACCTGGTTCTTGGTCCCCTGACTACCTACAAGTCTGGTTTATTTTATATGTGCATGATTTGGGCACCAGATACTCTTTGCCAAATTGCAACTCCTGACATGTACTGTACTCCTTCATATCTCTAAAGCCCTGGTCACACTATGCGATTTCTAGCAAACAAGCGCGAGTCGCGCGTGTCTTCTCGTGGTCACACATTGTTTGTTGACGTTGCAACTCGGAAACACATGGCCCTATAATAAACCAATAAAATTACAGTAGCTTGTTTTTGACTACTTTCGTGAGTTTGCCGATATTTTACGTTCTACTTCAGAGTATTTACGGAATTTTAGCCACTTTTCTTATTAAAATAGCAAGCAGTTCCTTTCTGGAATGAATAAAAGAAAAAAGGCGATTATTTTAATAGAGCTGGCGAAAATACATGAAAAGATAAAATCTTCGATAAAACGAAGAATTAAAATCCTGCAGGTATTCGTGAGCCTGAATAAGCTCGATCAATCTCGATTCTGTAAAAGTATTAATCCTATGACTATCCGCCATGATGATGAACTATTTTCAATGTTGTCACTGTATGACGTGGCATAAAGGCATTTGTTGATTGGATGCGCGTTTGCAATCATTGCGAGTAGAACAAACTTTTTGTTTCTAGTTGCGATTGCAGTCGCGCCGGTTTTCGAGGGGGATTACTAGTTAATGGGAACGGCCGTCGCGGTTGCAGTCGTCTGCGCGGCTGGAAATCGCATAGTGTGACCAGGGCTTAAGGTGTGCAGCTGTTGACAGCAGTGCGATTTTAGAGACAAGACAGTCTTGTCAACAGAACTTTTAAAAGTACATGGCATAATTTTACTGTTTTACTTTTCCTTGTATATGTTGTTCAGATATGTTAACAAATATTGTCAGAGCATGAAAGAGTAGACATGAGTCAGCCTGAGCTGAAAAGGTCTATGTCAGATGAAAGGGATGTAAGGAGACATGTGAAAGTTGAAAGATTGATCTGATTTCTTTCAACTGTTTTGTTTTTACATTTTTAAAACATTTTTTTTACTATCTTTATTATAAATAATTTTATTGTTTTACTTTCTTTTACAAATTTTATTACTGTGATCCATATGTCAACTCCCACTTGTCTCCTTCAATCCCTTTCATCTGACATAGATCCTTCCCACTCAAACTGACTCATGTCTGCTCTTTGCTTGTGCTGACTATTGTCAGCATGGGAAAGAGTAGACATGATTAGTATAGAAATGTATAGTAAATTGAAACTTTTAGTTCAGGATTACACATATAAATTCAGTTGTACAGTGTTAATTTGTGTTGTGTCATACTTTTGTGACAACTATATTCAATTTTAGAGCAATTCAAAATTAGTTTCACTTGTTTGTTTTTCTTATTTCTCTTGAAAAACATGTAAATGGGAATTGACTTTATTATATTGGAACAAATAAAAATTAAAAAAATTAACATATGACATTTAATGTTCTGGTTATGACTGATAACAGTTACAAGTACTACATATTGAAGCATAAGTTAAGCCTTGTTATCTCCATTACCTATGTTAAGCCCAAAATAGCCCAATAATTTGAAAGATTGTTTAGCATTAATTAAGTAAATTAGGTTATGAGTTGTTACAGATTAAAAATGCTTACTTACCTAGAAATGATGATGATAAAATTCTGATTATGTAAGTGAAGCTTTTATAGTGCATTATAATTTAGTGTTTTGGACCCTGCTAATTTTGATAACATTAAATGATTGATAACAATTTCTGTGATTACAATAAATAAAGTTTAGTTTGTATTTGTAGTGATAATCCTGGTGCATATTTTATGCAAGATCTTTATTTCAGTAGATATTGAATCTTCTTATACATAATTAAAAACCTGCTTACCATATTTCTTCAATTACTATTCATAGTTATTGAAATTACATTGCAAATTGAACTATTTTAAAATATTTGAGTAAAAAAAATGTATGACACTTTTGAGTTCATGAATGCATTATCATTTTTTATAATTTATTTTTAAGAAGAATATATAAACTTGGTTCAAGGTAATTTATGAACAATTTTTTTAGAGTATGTTATGCATGTATCTATCTAGATTATATTTATTCTTATATACAGATATATATCAGAAAAATAAAATGTTTAAGTGTATGTGATATAAAAGACAAAATTTTTTATGTTTATATTTAGATTGGAACACACTTATTGTTGGTAAAGTTTCATTGACTATTGATCCAGATTCTGTGGCATATTCAGTGTGTAAAAATTCTGAAAAAGTGAGTGAGAAAACTTTTTTACATAACTCTGTTAATTTAATTTTCAATTTCATAATTTTTATTTTATTTCCATATATATGTAACAATTAATTTATTCTACATATTTACAATATTATACAGTAGAGCATTGATTACACTGGACAAGAAAAAATATGTTTTTGAATGTTTCCTTTATTTCATGAGTGAAATCTTACTAATTTTGGGGTGAGAAAATTGAATATGACAAAGAAAAATTTTTATTAGCTCTAGTTTCTGTGGTATACAATAGGTGATTTTAACAGCATAAGAGAAAACGATACATTTTAATTACATATGCTAACAACATTGAAAGTGCTTTTGAATTTTTTTTAAATTACAGTAACATTCTAAGGGTTCTAAATTAATAGAAGAATACCTGGCACGTGGTTCGGTGTGAAGAGAATCATGTGATGACGATGAGATCGTTTTCTTTTAGCTTGCCTCTTGTGAGTGAGTTCTGGTGCATCCCTACATACAGACCAGCAGTAATCCACAAGCAATGCTTCATTCCAATGGCCCTGATATCTTTGTTCCAATACAGAAATACAGATATCCTGGTGGAATCTTTCCTCATGTTCATCATTGACAGCTTCACAACTAGGAGGGAAAAAGTCTAGGTGGGAATGGAGAAAATGGATTTTGAGGGACATGTTGCAACTAGGACAACTAGGAGGGAAAAAGTCTAGGTGGGAATGGAGAAAATGGATTTTGAGGGACATGTTGCATCTGAGTTGATGATATTTTTCCAGAAGTATTGTCACCAACTGAGTGTAGTTATCATTTCTTTTGTTGTCTAAGAATCCATGAATAACTCCCTTTAAGGCTTCCCAAGCTTCCTTTTCTTTTCCCTCCAAAACTTGGTCAAATGCGGACTCCTTTACAAGTTTTTGAATTTGTGACCCAACAAAAATACCTTCCTTAACCTTTGCATCACTCAATCTAGGAAATTTGTCTCTTAAGTACTTAAATGCCTGTCCTTTCTGGTTCATACCTTTGACAAAAGTTTTCATTAAACCCAACTTGATATGAAGGGGTGGAAGAAGAACATCTTTTGGGTCCACGAGAGGCTCGGCAACGATATTTTTCTCAGTAGAGTCAAGATTTCTTGCAGGCCAGTCCGCTTGAATGTAATGTAATTTCCTATCCCTACTGTCCCACATACATAAAAAGCAACAGTATTTAGTTGCATTTCCCAGTTGCATTCTTAAGAGTACATTCTTAAGAGTACTCTCCCCAGTTGCATTCTTAAGAGTACAGCGATGACTTTTAGATTGCCACATATTTTCCACTTGTGCTCAGCATAATTGATTGAGTCAAGAAGGGCTGTCATGTTTGCATAAATATATATTCTATAAAAGAGTGTAATTTTATTATATGCTGATCTCAGGAGTTTTACAGGAAAAACGCCAACGAAAATTTGAAATAATTGAAGATTCACTATTTTTTAATGAAACATTTTTTTACAAATTTTACTATAAAACCTCTCTCATATATTTTGTATTATTAAGATTACGTCAATCATTTTAAATTATAATTTAAAATGAATAAAAGTTTTAAATCTTTCGCAGACCATATTTTAACTCTTGTGGACCACTGGTTGGGAACCACTGCTCCAAAGCAAGAGCTAATCGGTCATTTTTATAGTGATTTTTGAATTCAGCAGATGAAAATACATAAGAATATGCTAATTTTGAGCTGAAACAAAATCATTGTTGTTTAGTGTTATCCAACCTTCGATCAACCGTCACATCAGTTAACCAACTTCATTCTAATCGGCAAATTCAAATATCCGCTAGTGATGTGGTGCTACAATATTTGGCTATGTCTTGGCTCTTGGCTACTTTAATATTATTTTTGTTAAATTTTTGCATGTTTTAGTGGTTGTTTGTTTTGTGACCAATAAAATAATTTTAAATGATACAATAGCAACAATTATTATTTTTAAAAAAATTTTGTTACACTTAACATCGATGAAAATTCAACGTGAAGTAGGTTAATAGCGATATACCAGTATACACTTTATATATAATTAAATGATTATTTTATCGGTTTGAAGTAGCAAATAGAAATACTGTAGTACGCATTTTCATTCATGCCTATTATTTTAATTTGATTTAATTTGCTGAAAAGGCCGGATATATCGTTGCTGTATTTTTGTAATATTCATAATATTCTTTTTATACATTCTTATTCTAACATTTTTTTTATTTTTGTCGATAATAAGTGGTTTCTCTTATTTTAGCATATTAAAGATATAATAGCAACATTTTATCAGTGTTTTCCTGTTGCATAAATTTTCCTAAGAAATCCCATAACATATTTTTTCAGTTCAAGACACGGTAGTTTATAATTCGGTGTTTCATATATAAATTAATGCTAAAATACTAGAACTGTAAATATAAGTTTTAATTTAGCAATCTTTCTTAGGCATAAAACTATAAATTATATTTCCATCTTTTGATGATGTGAAATCTTGTGGTTTTGTCCTTACTTTTTTATTAGATTAGATTCAAATATTTTATGGAAGAATACGAATAAATCTGTAAAACAAGTGACTTTAAACTTGATTTGAAATTCAAAGTCATTTATTTTACAGAATTCTTCGAATAAAAATTTATGCACAGAAAAAACTTTAAAAAATGGATTTCTATCCTTTTCACTGTCACTTTATAAGCAAGATGAATAAGAACAAATATGGGTTTCTATAGTAGGTTGAATTTAAATATGGGACTTATAATTATTTTAAGAACATTTAAATCGAAAAAAACAAGTTATTGAGATTATGATAACGTTATTCGATAAAGTTTATAATTTACTTTGAAACGATAAATTANTCCGATTTAAATAAGGATTTTCCAACATGTTTTTTAATTTTTGGAACCTAACCCCCCTTTTCACACTAGTTCTTTGTTTTGTATAACACGGATTCACATAACACGGCAATTTTTTGAAACGTAACTTTCATGTTATATGGGGGTTACCTGTACTATACTTGCATTTTTGAATTATTTAGTTCTGTCAGGATTGTAAACAGTCAGTCTTAAGACTTGAATATTCTAATTCATAAATGGAGTGTGTATTCAAAATAAAAGCATATGATCAATGAATTTCATATTTGGATTTGTTTGGAGTTTTTTAAAGGAAGATAGAGATTTTTTCAATTGTTTTCATTTCTGTTTATGGAACCAGTGTACCTTTACTTTAGGAAGGTATGTAGGGAATGTTCAGACTTTAAAAGCTAGATTGGCTTTAGAGAAGTTGAAGAATGACTAAACAATTGATGCAAGCTTAGAAAATTGTGGTTGCAATACAAGGAAGTTGTGATTTAGATGTGTCTTTGTCACAATTAGAAATCATTATTGTCAAAGAAGACATTATACAGAATCTAGAGTAATTTTATAGTCTGAACATAAGATTTTTGCATTTCCTGAAGCCTTCTGGAGTTAAATGTTTTCTTTCTCATTTTAAAACAATATTAACAACATGGATTAACTGGGATTAAAATAAACTTCAAGGATTTTATTATACTGTAATAAATAATCATCTGTTTTTTAATTGAATGAAGTTAATTAAACCTGGGGATTCTTTTAAATGAACAATAATATCAGAGAATTTTATTAGTTCACTCTCAATGAACTAATTATAGTTTTCTCAATTAGTTAGTTGAAACATAAATAACCAGTTGAAAAAATTTGTAATTGTTTGAAATTATGGTTGAATGATGGAATTATTATTTGTCCTTTGATTAATAATTTAGCTACAGAATTCAGTGATATGAATAGTAATTTAAATAAAATCATATTAGATATAATTATTATTTAAAAAAATTTTTGTTAGGCTTAACATCGATGAAAATTCAACGCGAAGTAGGTTAATAGCGATATACTAATAATGTATTTTTTCATACTTTTCAGTTATCCGACCAACCTCAGTCTCCAATTGAGTTGGATAATCGATGCTCTACTATATATAAATGAATTTATGTAATATATATGAACAAGTATTAAGTACAGCATATAGAAAATTTACTAAACATTTTTAAATTTTAAAATAAGGAACTATTAGAAATTGAATCAATCTGAAGTTTTAATGATCCATTTTACTTTTATTTTTTTTCTTCTTGGGTTAAGAACATTCTAATTCTAACTTTATCCAATTCCAATCCAATAAGTTATTATATGATTACCATAATATCCAAATATGAAATATCAGTTGAATCATTTCCAAGATGACAAAAAAAAAAAAAAAAAAAACACATTTTGGATATCTTGGAAATGACAAATAACAACATTAAATAACATGTAAAATAAGAAATAGTATATTTTTTAAATCTTGCCTAAATGCAAAATTTATTATCATAGAAACATAAGCATATTTAATTACAGGTAATCCCATATAATACGGTGCTTTTATAGTACGGGTTCACTCTAACACAGTTCAGGAATTGGGTAAAACCCTCGTACAACATAAAATATGATAAAGGGTGCATTCTTTTATACCTCCGCGTGAGCATTCTAATTGTTTTCATGGCTACTTTGAATGCTCTTTCAACAAATAATCCATTTAATGGTTAAATTTTACAATTGGGACCCTTCTTTTGCTTCTAAAAACTCATTTTAGAATTATATATTCCTCCACACGATACTATCGATAGTGCGGGTGCCGCCATCTTTCTTTCACTGTCGTTCCTAAATGTCTACAAACAGCAGCACACTCCCGTTGCAGAGCGACCGCTATTAATGAACGCACCCACAAACTGTTACCAGTTGATGATGTTCATGCTGAGATCATCATATAAAATGAATAATCCTCTGGTAAAATATTTACTTAAATAATAAATAAGTATTTTACCTATGAAAAAAATGAATAATAAATCCGATTTAAATAAGGATTTTCCAACATGTTTTTTAATTTTTGGAACCTAACCCCCCTTTTC